AAATCAGGTGAATCAAGTTCTCCAGCCTGAGAATACTGGTGACTGCTGTCACAGGACATCTCCCTGCATTGCCGAGAAGCAGGGACTAACTACTAATGGGGAGCACTGAGGAAGGGGAGCGGGCATAGTTTCTGCATCAGCAGGATTTCAGAGAAATCGGCGGGTTTCCCGAGAACTGCATTTATGTCCTGCTTTCCTCTGAGCTTGGCTGACCAGAAATGTCATGGTGCTGGTGGACCTGCTTTTCGCGATGGTGATGAGGTTATGGTTTAACCCTTGTCTTATTTCTGCCTCCATTTTGTTTTCAGCTGGTTCTGCCCGGTTTTCTGGTTTTGTCTGCAAAGAAAGGTAAACAGGAGCAGAACAGGACTGAACAGGGAAAGGGTGAGGAACTTAGGCTACCAGACTGGTGGGGCTCTCAGAGCCTGTAAAGTCTAGTCAGGTGACCATCTTTCCCTCCTGCTGGTGCTTGGAAGCAAAGATGAGTAACAGTGAAGCTGAGAGGATTGATGGGTTTGCTCAGCGTATTTCACAAAGACGTCCCAGATCGAGTGCCTCAGACAAGTGAGACATGGAACAGATGATGAAGGAGAACCCCCACCTTCCTGTCAGCAGGTGTAATTAGAGTACAACGGGGTTGGCGGGGAAAGGAGCAGGAGTGGGTGGGACCCATGAGCCTGTTGGCCTGAGGAATCCAGCTCATGTAGAGGCTCCTACACAGCTTCCTTCACCTCTCAGCCTCCTGGGCACCCCCCACCCCCAATCCAGGGGTGTGTACATTGCACAGGGTGGGGGTAGATGATCAAGTTTCCTGCACAGCAGTGATATTTGCTTATGTTGTTACAGATTCATTAACAACCACCTGCTCGCTGAGTCTTAGATACCTTGGATGTTAAAAGATGACTGTTGATCCAGGAAGGGCACAGAGTGGGATATCTATCTTTGGAGCAATTGGGTAAAGGAGAGTCCTGGAGCCCTTGGTGGCATTCTCAGGCTTTTATTGGGATTTACCAGGTACATGGCAGGCAGTGGTGCCGAGGGGCCAGGAGGCTGGCAGTCCTCCCAGCCCCCAGCAAGTCTTCACACTTTCTGGGCTCTCTGGCGTTCTCCTGTGGCCTTGTTCTCTGCTCCTCTCATGGTTCTGCTGGTGTCCCCGTGATGCTGCCCTTATAAGCCCAGTCTCTCAGCCCAGGTATACCCATTTACGCATGCCCACATCCCACTCCATGTGGTGTCCATCAGGCATGCATTCAGGACCCCAGGGATCCATCATCAATCCAAAAGGCGGAAGGGCAGAAAAGCCTGATGCTTTTTTACCTTACCCTGCAGTGACAAAGCACCTATTTCCTAGGGCAGTTATGCACTTCAAAGAGGATATGCAGGGTGTCCATGAATGTATGTGAAAATGCTTTGGATAATGAACGAGGGGTAGATGGTAACTGCTGCTATTAGACATTCACTTATCTATGATGATTTGTAGGTCAGAGGAGGGGCTTTATTTTTTTAAGATTTATTTATTTATTTATACACGCACTGGGTACAGCCAGAAGTGCGGGAGGGTGAGAGAATTCACCAGAGCCGGAGCGGGGAGCAGAACAGGCAGGAGGACCGAAGTACACTGCTGAGGGGAGCAGCGGGTGCGGCAGGAGAGGTCTGTGCGCCATGTGGGACCCTTGCCCGTGGCCGGGGATCAAACCGGTGCAGCAGAGGCTGCGGGCAGCTTCGCAGCCCAGTGCTCAACCACTGCGCCACCGGGGAGGCCCACGGGGAGGGGCTTTTGGTCTAAAGTGTGTCTTCTGTCTGGAATTTTTCTCTGAAAATAAGTTGAGCACTTTAGATTCATGTGTTTGGGTACTGTTGCTGCTTCTGGTTGCTTCTCTTCATGTACCCCTCGGAGGATAAGTTATAGAAATCACAATGTCAAACGATGAAGCCTAAAACTTGAGAACCTCACACACTTCACCCATGAGCACGCAAAAAACTCTTGTATGCAAAGTGCAGCTGATGAAATCACCAAGAGTGGGGTCCAAAGAGCAGAGGGTTTAGAACTGGTGAATTTTATGGGGCCATTGATGAGTGAAGTTAGTTTTTGAGACTGGCATCTAAAGGATGTCAGGCCAGGGAGAGCGAATATTGAGTGTTTAAAAGGCCACAGGCACTGCTGTGTGTTCACCTTGAAAACAAAGAATCAACAGCTACAGAGTCAGAGCCAGGGCTCCTGTCCCTTATCCAACAATGTCTCCCAAGAGCCTTCCTGCAGCCTCATCCTCACCCCAGGGGTATTGTCCCTTGCCCAGGCCATCCTCTTCTGGTCCTTGCCCAAGTTGTTACCTAATTCTCAGTTTTTAAATATCTTCTTCCTGCAGGAAAAAAGAGCTTATATTTGAAAAAAAAGTTTCTTCAGGAAGGAAGACAAAAACACGGATGGAAAGATCAATTTCCTTGAGTTTCTTTCCAGGTGGCTGCAGTCTCCATAGATTTACACAGTCAGTGTCATGGCCAGAAGCCAGAGATGATGGTCAGGGGTGCCCACAGATGCCTGGGCTTAGCAACGCCAAGATCCAATAGAGTGCCACCTCCATTGCTTTGGAATTGGCGTTATTTTCTTCTTTCTCGATGGTCACATATCTTGGCAACATAGTTGATTAGCTACTCTGTTATTTTTGCATTTCATTTCTCCTTTTATAGATTTAGGCACACACACACACAAATTTGGTTGTTACCTTTGAATTTTAGATACAATATAAACCAGACTAGATCTAATCAATATCTTTATTCTCTTCCTGAACAATGTAAAGAATTGGCTTTAAATCCAGAGATTCCCCTTCTAATTTATTTTTTTAAAAGATTTATTTATTTATTTATTTATACACGCACTGGGTACAGTCAGAAGCATGGGAGAGTGAGAGAATTCACCAGAGTCAGAGCGGGTTGCCGAACAGGCAGAAGGACCGAGGTACACTGCTGAGGGGAGCAGCAGGTGGCAGGAGAGGTCTGCGCACCATGTGGGACCCACCTCTGGTGGCTGGGGAGCAGCGGGGGATCGAACCGGCGCTGCAGAGGCTGCGGGCAGCTTCGCAACCAAGCGCTCAACCACTGTGCCACTGGGGAGGCCTCCCCCTTCTAGTTTACATGCTATTATTTCTCCAGCCTTTAAGCTCTATCCTTTTTTATGATCACCCCTAAGTAGAAATTATTATTTTCTATTTACACACGTATTTGGTTAGAGTTAACCACCTATTTGCTATTTTCATTATATGGCCTTCCCTTTTGTGTTTCAGGTCTTCCTTCTAGACTAATTTTTTCTTTAGCATTTGTTTCTGAGGTTTCTTTCATGAGGGTGTGGTGGGATCAAGCTACTACAGTTTTAATATCTTGAAATTATTTAATTTATTATGAAAAATTTCAATTACATTATAACCTCCCAGGGAGCGAGTGCCTGCTTCCCTTACACTTGATAGGTGGCCAGTCTTTTCCATTTCTTCTCCACCCCCTCTCGTACCTAAATCTTGAAGCAAATTCCAGACAACTTTTTTTTAAAGATTTTTTTATTTATGCATATAAGATCTGGGGTACAGGCCAGAGGTATGGGGGTGAGAGTATTCACCAGAGACAGAGTGGGGAGCAGAACAGGCAGATCTACTGAAATACACTGCTGAGGGGAGCAGCGAGTGAGACAGGAGGAGAGGTCTGCACCATGTGGTTAGCTCCCTGGCTGGCCAGGGATCAAATTTGGACTTTAGAGGCTGCAGACAGCTTCATAGGTTGCGTCTAAACCCCTTGCGCCACCAGAGAGGCGCAAATTCCAAACCTTCATCAGTAACTTTTTGTTTATGTTTCCAACAGATAAGAACAACCTAAGCCATCCAACAACCACAATAATGTCCTATTTTTTCCTCACATCATTGTTCACTTTGCACAGTGCGTGATTTATTCCCTCAGGTGTGGTCACCATAGGGACAAGAAGAATGTCTGCTGAGGAAGGGTTAGTAGGTGACAGGGCTGGGGTGGGGTGTGACTGGCGGATGTCTGAGCCTCCAGAAGGGAGTCCTGAGGAAGCTGAGGGGACACGGTGTAGCACTGACACAGGATGTGGTGCTGTCCCTCCTGGTCAGCACCTGCCTGATGGCACCGTGCAGAGATCCATACCTGGCGGAGTCAGTGTCTGTGAGGTGCCCTGTGTCCCACAGGCTTCTAAAGCCTCAGCCCCCATGCCCTTGGTGGACTCAAAAAGCCCAGGGAATGACATGTCCTTCCTGAGGTAATTGGAGGGGCTATGACCTGTGACACTCAGTGGGGTTTGCTTCTCATCCTCAAGTGAGTGTTACCCTGGGCTTTGCTCAGTAGGTTGTCTGTACCCAGAATGGCTCTAGATCCTTAGACCTGAGACCCACCACTGTGGGCTCTCTAAATGCCCAGCTACAGGCATTTAACAGGCCACTCCTGAGGGTGAGCTCCGCACACAGGGTGACTACCCACTTCCACCTGGACCCCCACCCGGGCTGCAAGCCACAGCGCTGCACAGGGCCCAGAATGGGGATTATGGTGGTCAGGGTGCTGTAAGCACCCCCAAATCTCCTCACTGTGCTGAGTGCCCTGTGTCGCTGGTGCTCTAAGAGGCCTACTTAAGTGATGCCAGTCTCCTCTGCCCTAGGAGATGCCGGGGCATAGCCAGATGGCCTGAAGTGTGGTGTGGCGCCCTGGGTCCTGCTCTCTGATCTTCTGTGATCACAAGATCCCGATCTACAAGTTTGGAGCAAATGCATGGCTGGACCCTGGCAGAGGCTCCCCCCAACCCCACCACGGGCCTGGGCAATGTGGCTGTGTTCAGGGCCAGGGCAGGGGACATAGGCCTGCCACAAGGGGTGAGTGATCTGATTCATGGGAGGGCACACTGCTGGCACGCTCCCAGTAAACCCACTGGGGTGTCCACATCAGTGTTGGCAAGAAAGGTAGTATGACCACAGAGGCAGCCAAAGAAAGACGGGAATGGACCAGTTTCTGGTGAGAAGAGACACTTTATTGTTTTGGGGAGGTCGCTGGAGGTCTAGAGGAGGCAGGGTTACTGGTTCCCCCCTGAGCAGGCCTCACCTCCATGGCTCTGTTTGTGGTAGTCTATGGCTAAGTCCCCCAACAAGGAGAGAAACTCAGAGAACTCGATCTTGCTGTCTTTATTCTGGTCCTTTTTCTCAAAGACATTGGCCAGGTAATCGGTGCCCTTTTTGTCCTGTGGGGAGAGATGTAAAACAAGAGAATGTCAGTCCTGCTGGAGCTGTGGCTGGCAGTGGAGAGGAGGAGGCAGCACCAACTGCCTGCACATGCGCAGCACAGGTGTGGCCAGGGTGACTGAGGACGGAGGACATCATGTTGCCCACAGGCCTCGAGGGAGGAGCTTGGCAGAAATGTCAGTAGGAACGGGAGCCCTCGGGTGGTGAGTGGACCTGCCTGGAATCTAGTGCCACAAGTGCTGTTGGTGGTCAGGGGCCCAGCCCCTGTCCATCCCTGTAATCCTGCCACCTGCTGAATTCTTCCCACACTCACACTGGCCTGTCTCTGGCCATCTTCATCCTAACCCTTCACTCCATCTTCTGTAGGTACTGCCCGAGTCCTACTGGCCCTCAGTTGCCCCTCTTACTTCCCTGGTGTCTGTGTCACTAGCAGTCCCTCAGGGTCCCTCTGCTGAGTAGTTCAGGACAGTTGATGGTCAGAAGAAATCAGGGTGTGGGTGAGCATGGACATGTGCATGGACAGAGGCGTGTCTAGCTCTCTCAGCAATGGGATTTCTAGTGCTCTGGGGACATGGATGGGGCCTCTGGAGGCCGGGCTGAGGAGGCCTGGGACTGGGGACAGGGAACCTGTTCACTGTGCTGGCCATAACCTCTGCTGACACCTCTCCATACTTTTTCACCCTTGGCCGCATAATTCATCTCTCTGCAGCCTGATAATAACCTGGGATAGAGAGTCATTCTAGGCGCTTTTGCAGAGAAAAAACTGGAGCATCAGAGAATGAAAGTGATTGTGCAAGGTCACATGGCCAGTGTGTCCTCAGCCAGAGCAGGACCCCAGCAACATTAAGAAGCAGACCCCAACTCACACAGGCAGCCAGGAAGGTGGGGAAATTCTCCTTCATCAACTTCATCAGGCCTGGCTTGTCAATTGTGTCCTTTTCTCCACTGTATTTGTGAAACAGGTCGATGGTGCCCTGGATGGCCTTCTCAGCTGGAGTGCTGCCCATGGTGTCTGTCACAAAAGCTGCAGAGAGAGACAAGGACCTTTTAATCCTCCCCCACAGCAGTGTCTCTAGTTAGGACCAGAGTGCTGAGGAGCGTGGATTCGGAGGAGGAGAAGCACATGTCCCTGTGTTGCTGGGTTCAGAAGCTCAGGGGGGGCAGTGTGGGGTCCAGGTTGAGCCCCTGTCACTCAGGCCAGGGTACAGAGAGGCTGAGGGAGAATAGCAGCGTCCACTGGGGGCAGGGCTGAGAGAGGATGCAGAAACAGAGATAGGGGCAGCATCCCTGAAAAGGCAACTCCTGAGGTAGGACGCCGAGAGAGACAGCATCAGGAATCCCCACATTTCAAGACATCGAATCCTTCCCCTTCAGCTTCAATGTCAGGATTAGAGGCACCAGACCCCTCAGTGTCCTTGCCATGCTGGTTCTGCGTCCCCGGGGCTGCTGTGCGGGACAGGCCTGGGCCTGGGTCCCACCAGGACCAGGAAGCCCCTGTGCTTGCACTGGGCTCTGGTGCTCCTGGAGGATCCTGTGGGGGTGCTGGCGAGTGTGAGCAGAGAAACCAGCGCTGGCCTGATTCTGGAGACCTACCAGGCTACCCGACTGGGGAAGACTGGCCCAGAGTTGTCAGAGGAGCCAAAAGGAGTAATGGGTGTCCCTGGTCCAGGCATCTGGTGAGGACCTCAGCTGGGGTGAAAGTCAGCAGCCTGGAGGGGAAGGCCTGTGAGGTACGAGGCTCCAGAGCCCTGTCCCGTGGCTGCTGTCCTAGCTCCCAAGGTAGCAGAGCTGCTGGGCCTGGCCCTCCCTCTAGAAAAGGCAGAGGCAGTGCAAACTCACCAGAGCTGAGGAAGAAGCGGCTGTGGCAGAAGATGTATGGTGAGATATGCAACTGGGCAGAGCCTGGGCCCTTTATAATGCTCAGGTTGGCTCTTCCCAGGTGTGGGAGCCCTGGAGCAGGGATGCTGTCTGCTTCCTGCATTGCCCCACAGGGTGGGGCTTTTCCCACACAATCCCAGGCCTGTGGTGTTGCAGCTCTCAAGAGTCCTCCCCTGAGCCTTGTCCTTCCCAAGTGATCTGCAGTGGGCGACCCTGGATGTGTCACCCAGGGCAGGAAGGAGGACAGGGACGACTGGGTATCTGGGGTCAGGGAGGATGGAAGTATGGCCTTTGGGAGGTGCAACAGGGTGGGTGTTCTTTCACTCCCCCAGTCCTGCCCCTCACTGGGCTGATCGACCACAGCCCCCTGTCCTGGAGAGCCCCGAGTGTGTCAGACAGGACACCTTTTGTCCTGCCTCCTCCTCAATCCTCCGTGCTCTGTGAGTTGAGTCTGTCACCCTGTAGGGTATGGAAAAAAATGTCAGGCTTTTCTGCCCTCTTGCCATCAGGATAGATGACGGAACCCTGTGGTCCTGAATGCATGCCTGATGGTGGGCACCTGGAGTAGGGTGTGGGCATAGGTAGATGGGATTCACCTGGGCTGAGATTGGGCTTTAAGGGCGGCATCACGGGGACGCCAGCAGAAGCCGAAAGAGAAGCCGAGAAAGAAGCAGCAGAAGCCGAGAGAGAAGCAGAGAAGGCCGGACAGCCCAGATAGAGTGAAGGCTTGCTGGGGGCTGGGAGGCCTGCCAGCCTCCCGTTCCCCCAGCACCCTTGCTTGCTGTGTGCCAGGTAAATCCCAATAAAAGACCTGCAAAAACCACTGAGGACTCTGACTCCTCCTTTACCCGGTCTGCATGGGATCCTAGAAAACCTGCACTGTGTCCTGTCCTGCCCTTACACACCCTCATTCAGGGGGGGAATGGATGTACTGAGAGGTCAAGCAAACTCCCATGTTTATACAGCTGGCAGCCAACCAAGTAGGCCTGGGTCCTTGAAAATCCTGGTTCAAACCTTCCTCTTGCTCCCTCATCTAACCTTTTGGTTTGGAGCAGGTTTTGTCCTCTGGGAACCCCAAGTTCAGGGAAGGATGAGGGTCACCTCACTGCCATCTTCACATGGGGTCCTCCTGTGAGCCCCAAGGAGGTGTGGCTGGTGTCCCACAGTGACAGATGAGAGGACACAGACAGGGTGGGTGGTGGGCTCAGCACTGTCATGGTCTTGTGAGGGTGACAGGGATCTAACCCTGACCTGAATTAGCCCCAAACTTGAACTTGACTTTGCAGCATCAGAGGTGCATGGGACAACATATCATCCCGCTGTCTAGTTCCAGTGGTGGTGACTGCTGAGGAATGAGTTGTGACAGCATAATGGGTAATTCCCTCCCTACCCATGACTATTATCTTCCTGTAAGTATTTACCATCCTTCCTTCTTCCTCCATGCAGACAGTCCTGGCAGGAGCGGGTGCCGCCTGGCTCTGCTGGGGCAACCATAGAGTAGAGAGGACACAGGCCCCTGGGTAGTATCCATGGGCAAGTCCTGGCTTGCTGTCACTCTCCTGGGCGACAGCCCAGCTGAGAGGTGACCTGAAAAAAACCCTGGATTTCAGCACAGTGCTAGAGCCAGGATGAGAGCCCATAGGACCTGATTTTGAATCCTGCTTTGCATGTACTGGGGGTGTACCCTGGGAATTTATCTAGGCTCTAAAGCTCCATGTCTGTAAACTGGGGTAGTGATAACCAGTGCATGGTGTTTTCTGAGGATGAAATGAGACGGTGCTTTCGAAGCTCTTAGCAAATCACCTGGCAGGTAGTAGCCTGTCTCTAATGGTAGGAGGTCTTAGCTAATGACAATTAATGAGAGCTAATAAAGTGACAAATCAGATGCATAATCAGAGAGTCTGATTCCACATGCAAATCCCCAAATGATCCATTTCCTGATATGTACCTGTCCTCTCACCAACCCAGAGATCTAGAATCTAGATGTTTAGGTCTAAGTCTATCTCCACACCTGAGGCATATAGCAGGGAGGGGGAGGGTGGAGGCCAAAACAAGGGAGGGAAGAGCACAACAGAATTGGTGATGGATCACAGGTGATGTGGTGGTGAGCGATTGACTGGTCTACACCTGAGGGGTGAAATCACATATTGTACAAAAATTAGCTACGATGTCAGAAAATAAAAAAGTTAAAATAAATAAATAAATTTTGATCTACAGAATCAGGTGGGTTAAGGTTCTGTCCCCCCTGGGAGGTGATGTTGACTTGTGAGCAATTCCCATGACAATTCACTGCTGCAGAGAGAGACAAGGTTTTTTCCTACAGTGTCTCTAGTTCACACATGCTAGCTCTGGTTAGGAGGGAGTTATTATGCCTTTCTTCTTGGCAGTGTTAGCTAGGAGAGCTCCTACTGTTTCAGTGATCATAGAGCTAAAGGCTGACACTCCTCTCTCCCAGCACCTTGAATGGGGTTCCTCAGATGGACCAGGTTCCATTTCTCCTACTCACAGCCCACCCTGCTCTCTGCTCGCTGCACATATCCCATTCCAGGTGTCCCGACCCCCAGCCTTCTCCCCTCCCCCAAGCCTTTATTCCTTCCTCTGAACTTCACAACCCCTTGCCCTTGCAGGGTGGGACACGTCCCATGTCCCTTGCACCACTGCCAGCCTGGCCAGGTTCCAGGAAGCTCCCTGTACTTGTCACCGGCGTTACTTGGCTCATAAGGCAAAACTGAAGAGGTAAGCATGGGAAAGAAATCAGGTGAATCAAGTTCTCCAGCCTGAGAATACTGGTGACTGCTGTCACAGGACATCTCCCTGCATTGCCGAGAAGCAGGGACTAACTACTAATGGGGAGCACTGAAAGGAGTAATGGGTGTCCCTGGTCCAGGCATCTGGTGAGGACCTCAGCTGGGGTGAAAGTCAGCAGCCTGGAGGGGAAGGCCTGTGAGGTACGAGGCTCCAGAGCCCTGTCCCGTGGCTGCTGTCCTAGCTCCCAAGGTAGCAGAGCTGCTGGGCCTGGCCCTCCCTCTAGAAAAGGCAGAGGCAGTGCAAACTCACCAGAGCTGAGGAAGAAGCGGCTGTGGCAGAAGATGTATGGTGAGATATGCAACTGGGCAGAGCCTGGGCCCTTTATAATGCTCAGGTTGGCTCTTCCCAGGTGTGGGAGCCCTGGAGCAGGGATGCTGTCTGCTTCCTGCATTGCCCCACAGGGTGGGGCTTTTCCCACACAATCCCAGGCCTGTGGTGTTGCAGCTCTCAAGAGTCCTCCCCTGAGCCTTGTCCTTCCCAAGTGATCTGCAGTGGGCGACCCTGGATGTGTCACCCAGGGCAGGAAGGAGGACAGGGACGACTGGGTATCTGGGGTCAGGGAGGATGGAAGTATGGCCTTTGGGAGGTGCAACAGGGTGGGTGTTCTTTCACTCCCCCAGTCCTGCCCCTCACTGGGCTGATCGACCACAGCCCCCTGTCCTGGAGAGCCCCGAGTGTGTCAGACAGGACACCTTTTGTCCTGCCTCCTCCTCAATCCTCCGTGCTCTGTGAGTTGAGTCTGTCACCCTGTAGGGTATGGAAAAAAATGTCAGGCTTTTCTGCCCTCTTGCCATCAGGATAGATGACGGAACCCTGTGGTCCTGAATGCATGCCTGATGGTGGGCACCTGGAGTAGGGTGTGGGCATAGGTAGATGGGATTCACCTGGGCTGAGATTGGGCTTTAAGGGCGGCATCACGGGGACGCCAGCAGAAGCCGAAAGAGAAGCCGAAAGAGAAGCCGAGAAAGAAGCAGCAGAAGCCGAGAGAGAAGCAGAGAAGGCCGGACAGCCCAGATAGAGTGAAGGCTTGCTGGGGGCTGGGAGGCCTGCCAGCCTCCCGTTCCCCCAGCACCCTTGCTTGCTGTGTGCCAGGTAAATCCCAATAAAAGACCTGCAAAAACCACTGAGGACTCTGACTCCTCCTTTACCCGGTCTGCATGGGATCCTAGAAAACCTGCACTGTGTCCTGTCCTGCCCTTACACACCCTCATTCAGGGGGGAATGGATGTACTGAGAGGTCAAGCAAACTCCCATGTTTATACAGCTGGCAGCCAACCAAGTAGGCCTGGGTCCTTGAAAATCCTGGTTCAAACCTTCCTCTTGCTCCCTCATCTAACCTTTTGGTTTGGAGCAGGTTTTGTCCTCTGGGAACCCCAAGTTCAGGGAAGGATGAGGGTCACCTCACTGCCATCTTCACATGGGGTCCTCCTGTGAGCCCCAAGGAGGTGTGGCTGGTGTCCCACAGTGACAGATGAGAGGACACAGACAGGGTGGGTGGTGGGCTCAGCACTGTCATGGTCTTGTGAGGGTGACAGGGATCTAACCCTGACCTGAATTAGCCCCAAACTTGAACTTGACTTTGCAGCATCAGAGGTGCATGGGACAACATATCATCCCGCTGTCTAGTTCCAGTGGTGGTGACTGCTGAGGAATGAGTTGTGACAGCATAATGGGTAATTCCCTCCCTACCCATGACTATTATCTTCCTGTAAGTATTTACCATCCTTCCTTCTTCCTCCATGCAGACAGTCCTGGCAGGAGCGGGTGCCGCCTGGCTCTGCTGGGGCAACCATAGAGTAGAGAGGACACAGGCCCCTGGGTAGTATCCATGGGCAAGTCCTGGCTTGCTGTCACTCTCCTGGGCGACAGCCCAGCTGAGAGGTGACCTGAAAAAAACCCTGGATTTCAGCACAGTGCTAGAGCCAGGATGAGAGCCCATAGGACCTGATTTTGAATCCTGCTTTGCATGTACTGGGGGTGTACCCTGGGAATTTATCTAGGCTCTAAAGCTCCATGTCTGTAAACTGGGGTAGTGATAACCAGTGCATGGTGTTTTCTGAGGATGAAATGAGACGGTGCTTTCGAAGCTCTTAGCAAATCACCTGGCAGGTAGTAGCCTGTCTCTAATGGTAGGAGGTCTTAGCTAATGACAATTAATGAGAGCTAATAAAGTGACAAATCAGATGCATAATCAGAGAGTCTGATTCCACATGCAAATCCCCAAATGATCCATTTCCTGATATGTACCTGTCCTCTCACCAACCCAGAGATCTAGAATCTAGATGTTTAGGTCTAAGTCTATCTCCACACCTGAGGCATATAGCAGGGATGGGGAGGGTGGAGGCCAAAACAAGGGAGGGAAGAGCACAACAGAATTGGTGATGGATCACAGGTGATGTGGTGGTGAGCGATTGACTGGTCTACACCTGAGGGGTGAAATCACATATTGTACAAAAATTAGCTACGATGTCAGAAAATAAAAAAGTTAAAATAAATAAATAAATTTTGATCTACAGAATCAGGTGGGTTAAGGTTCTGTCCCCCCTGGGAGGTGATTGTTGACTTGTGAGCAACTCCTCTGACAATTCACTCTGTGAGGTTTTTTTTTTAATAAAGATTTATTTATGTATACAAATACTGGATATAGTCAGGTGCGCGGGAGGGTGAGAGA